AAAATCGTAGCCCAACAATTTGCACAACCATTTCTGGTGGTCCTCATTGACCAGTCTCTACTCTAGCAAAAACTTAAGGCTCCTTTGGTCCGTACGCACAATGAAATGGCGCCCCAGTAAATAATGGTGCCATTTCTTGATGGCGAGGACCACTACCATGAGCTCACGCTCATAAACAGATTTTGTACGCGCGCGAGATGACAACACTTGACTGAAATAGGCAATGGGTCGCTGATGTTGCATCAAGACCGCGCCAATCCCAAACCCCGAAGCATCTGATTCCACTACGAATGGCTGGGAAAAATCCGGCAGTGCCAAAACTAGAACTGTAGTCATGGCCAACTTTAATTCCCGAAAGGCGTCTTCAGCTTCCCTAGTCCAATTAAAATTATCCTTCTTTAGTTGCTGCGTCAGCGGCCAAGCAAGGTGCCCATATCCCGACACAAAGCGCCGATAATACCCGGTCAACCCCAGAAAGCCCTGCAGCTCCTTGATAGAATGTGGGGTGGGCCAATCTAGCATTGTTTGAATCTTACTAGCATCAGCCGAAACCCCTTTTCCAGACACAATGTGGCCCAAATATTCCAATTGACTACTAGCAAAAGTGCACTTCTTTTGGTTCACATATAAGTGGTTGTCCTCTAAGGCAGACAAAACTACATCCAAATGGTTGACATGGTCCTCAAGAGATCTACTATAAACCAAAATGTCATCACAAAATACCAACACAAATTTCCGCAAAAAAGGTTTCAATACCTTATTCATGAGAGATTGGAAGGTGGCCGGGGCGTTGGTTAACCCAAAGGGCATAACCAAAAATTCGTAGTGACCCTCATGCGTTCGGAAGGCCGTTTTTAGAATATCCTCCTTGCACATCCGAATTTGGTGGTAACCGGATTTTAAATCCAATTTAGTAAAGATGGTGGCCCCACTCAATTCGTCCAAAAGCTCTTCTATAATTGGGATGGGAAACTTGTCGGGAACTGTAGCCTTGTTAAGTGCCCGGTAATCAACACAAAAACGCCAACTACCATCTTTTTTTTTAACTAGGAGAACTGGACTTGAAAATGGACTGCTACTCAGCTGTATGGTACCAGCCGAAAGCATCTCCCATACCAACTTTTCAATCTCATTCTTTTGGAAGTGAGGATACTTATAGGGCCGGACACTAATAGGAGCGGTCCCCTCTTGAAGGATAATGCGATGATCACGCATTCTTTGGGGAGGGAGTCCCTCAGGCATGTGTAAAACCCTCGAATGGCGCTGCAAGACTTCACTAATCTGCCCTTGAAATTGTTGATCCAGTTCCACCCTTGCGCCCAGATCCGGTTCCTTGTTGGCATCCAAAGCATTCAATTCTAAATAGATGCCATGGCCCTCATGCTTAATGGTCCTAACCATGGCCTTAAGGGAAACCATCGTGGTGGAAAGACTCATGTCTCCCCTCAAGGAAACCGCTTCTCCCCTCACTTTGAATTTCATTACCTGAGACTTCCAATTCACATGCACTCCACCCAATGTTTCTAACCATTGCATGCCCAAAATAACATCCACTCCTCCCAATTCCAGTGGCAAAAAATTTTCCACTATGGTCAAATGTGCTAAATTCAATGCTACCTCCCTACAAATTCCTTTTCCTTTAACCGATTCTCCCATTCCTAGTTGTACCCCAAAACCTGCAATGGGCGCAATCGGAATCGACAACCTCTCCACAAGACTCAAGGAAATGAAATTATGGGTTGCACCGGAATCAATTAGAACAATTACCTCTTGCCGAGCAATTGTGCCTCAAAGCTTCATAGTCTTTGGTGTCGAGAGTCCTACCACTGAATTTAAGGACAACTCAATGAGTTCCAGCTACCCCTCCTCCCATTCTGAACTTGGCAAAACTAGGTCGTCCTCTTCGCACTCGGCTGCGTCCTCATCGCTAACGAGCATTATCCGAAGCTCCTTCTTCTTACAACGATGACCAAAGGTGAACTTCTCATCGCACCTAAAACACAACCCCTTATCTCTCTTCTCCTGCAACTCAGAATCCAACAACTTACGAAATGGAAAATCCCGCCTTTGAGTTGCTATTTTCTCTACCGTAGCAGGAGCTCGCTGTGGTTGTTCTACCACCGGCATCGTCCGAACAAGAGTTGGTGAAGACTCAGCCCTTTGAGCACTAAGGAATTGTGGTCTGGAAAACCTTGTTTCCGCCGCCCCTTCTCGACGCGGCAAATCATTTTTTTCTTCAATTCTTTGAGCAATCTCCATGATTTCCCCTAACCCAACCCGTTTCAAGAGCCTCACTTCAGCCCGAACCTGTGCCTTTAGCCCATTCACGAAAATTCCTTCCAAAACCTCTTCCGGCACATCCCGTAGTGGGGTTGCTGAAACTTCAAATTGCCTGTGATATTCAGCCACCGTACCTACTTGCCGTATCGCCAAGAACCTCTCGCAAAGATTGCCCTCCTGCGAAGAACAAAAGCGCTGCAGCAACGCCACCCTAAACTCTGGCCATCTATGGAAAGGTCTACGGCCATTCTGCCATTGGAACCAAGACAGGGCATCTCCCTCCAAGGATATTCCCAAGGTACTAAGTTTTTCTCTTTCCGAGCAACGGTTGATGAGAAAAATTGCTCCATGCAGAATATCCAGCCATCGGGATCATCTCCGCCAAGGATGGGACACTCCACCTGCCGTCGACGAAGAGCCGCCCAATCCTCATTCACCGGCAACTCCTCCAAGACACCTCTGCCCTCCCAACCTTCTCTATACCGTTCTCCAACGTTAGGGTTTCTTCCCCTTTCCACTCCTCGGTGAACAGGGCCGCTTGACCCATCCCGCCGTTTGTCCCCTTCCATGAAAAACCCATGCCCCTCACCTCGATGTCCATTCCAATTCTTCCCTTGGGTACCCAACGGAGCCCCCCTAGCAAACCCGCGCCAATCCTCCCTCCCATCGCGACCAGGATTCTGTGGAATCCTTAAATCTGCCGCCCGATCTACGCCTTGCTCGCGCCACCCAGTGTCCCCCACTGGACACAGCATGTTCTGCAAAACCCTAGGGTTAACCGACCGTTCCTCTCCGGCGCGTATCTCCACGCGATCTCCGGCGCGATTCGTCTCATGAACTTCCCCGGCGCGAATCGCTAAACGATCTCCGTCGCGATTCGCCTCGCGGTCTTATCCGGCGCTATTCGGCTCGCGATCTCCAGCGCGATTCACCTCGCGGCCTTCTCCGGCGCAATTCACCCCGCGATCCACCTCGGTCGTGGTCGTTTGGGCGACCATCTTCTCCGGCGCCGAAGCTGATGCCGACAGAAGTTTCACCTGTTCCTCCATAAGCCGGCGAATCTTGGACAGATCCGACCTATTTTGTGATAATTCCACCCTAACCTCCCCGAGCCCTTTCTCCATCTCGCCAATCCCCTTTTCCATGGAAACCCTAACTTCCTTGATCTCCTTCTCCACCAATTTGAACCTTTCATCAGTTTTCCTAGCCGCCACTATAGCCCAGAATCAATGCTCTGATGCCAAAATGATAAGAACAGAGTATTGTTTCCCACAGAAATGAATCAAGAATAATGAAAATGTAAATCTTTATTGATTAATATAACGAATTACAAACTATTCTACCAATACTCTCAGACACCCTTGCTCAGCCTTAGCCAAGACTTCCCAAACAGACTCCAGTAATTTCCTAACTCTCTAATCCCACCTCTTGCCTATTTATTCCCTTCTCTTCCTTCCTCACGACAATCCCCTGTACCTCCCCGCAATATACACTTCTCAGCTAACTAACTACTAATGACACACCCCTAACTCCCCGTCATTCCCTCTTCTCTTTCCTAACATAAACCTGTCTAAGCAACGGTTTATCAGCCTTATCACCGGATTGCACAAGGCCATGAAGAGTGCAAAGCAAGTGTTGTGTAGAATACTTGAACACTAATATATTTATGTGTGTGGATTCACCAGTATTATCATAAGGAATAATTGGTTCAAAGCCTTAGGCTACTTGGAATTCCGATATACATTTGTGAAACTTACACTAAGGTAAAATTCAAATCGAAAGATATTTTATTTTATGCATAGATACAGTTTCTAGATAGAATTCTTCAATATTATGTTTAAACAAGTGGGGGATATATTGTTAGAAATCTTGAGGGAAAGGAGACTTGAAACACGTAGAAAGTACGCTTTCCTTAAAGCGTAATTTGCCCTCTCTTGTTAGAGATTGCTTCAGTTTCTTGGCAAATCGCTCGCAGAATATGACAAGCCTTCAAGTTGTTAATTACAAGCAAAATGACAACAACACTAAGAACACAAGAACTCTTAGAATTTCTAGAAATTTTTAATAAGAAGAGAGAATAATTGTAGAGAATTATTTCTCATAATTTATCAGCAATTCTTGTTCTTTTATAGTTTTTTATCACACTAATACGTACAGGCACAACCAAACTTGAAAAGACACTTTTTCCATTTGAATTGGTGTCAGTTCAAGATTCAAAAAACGTGTCTGATCGTTACAGCGCTGCAGTGCCAGTTTCTGGCAAACCAGAAACTGTCCGCGCAAGCCCGAGCGCTGCAGCGCCCATCACTGGCGCTGCAGCGCCCATTCCAGCGCCGCGGTGCCCAAACTCAGCGCTGCAGCGCCCTGCTTGCTAGAAATTGTATACACCCATTCCAACGCCGCAGCGTCCAAACTCAGTGCCACGGCGCCCTGCTTGCTGGAAATTGCTATCTCTTAAATGCACAAAATGCAAGGCGCTTTTATATGTGATAAAACTTAACAAATTATTATATATTATATTTAAACAATCCCAACACAAAAAACGACATGGAATGAACTTAAAGAAGCGACAAAATGAAGGAATACTTCACAAAACCTCATGCATCACTAAGATAGCAACATTATCTCAATTTTTGCTTGCTACTATAATAGTGTTTAACTGTTAACCGATTAGAAATTAGCAGGTAGCTTCAGCTTTTGTGTTGGATATTTTTGTGCAGGGAGACCACATTGTCAAGTTCCTCGTCTACTACATTGGGACAATATAGATTCTACTATGATGCTATTGAGAAAGGAATTTGCTTGGCATATAGGAGGAGCACTTGCACAGCATGAGCTGGAGGAATGGAAACTTTTGTATCATAGTTCATTTAATGGTCTGAGTTTCAACACATTTTTGGGCAACATATCGTGAGTAACATGCTTTATTTTATATCTATGCATTTGGAGTTTATACTTTTTCCCGTTTGCTTATACGAGATATTTCAATAGCTTACGGTAATTGCGTACCAATGTAGACTGTTGAGTAGGCCATATAACAAATACGAGGAGGGAGAGAGAACTCACATTCTTGCTAAGAGCAGTAATTCCATTAGGCCTCTCGCTGGAACCCCAAGAATTAGTCCTAAATCATATTTCCTTTCCTATTCATTATTCATTGCCTTTCCTTCCCCCCAGTTGGTTTCGCTCTCCTGGAATGTTCATTCCTTGTAAGAATAATCCTACATAAACCTTGTTCCTGCTACTTAGGGACTATAACTCCTCGAAGTCGAACTCGCTCGCGAGAGAATTGGTTCCCATTCATTCCCATCTAACCAATAGAGATATGCATGTCTTGTGGAATGTGATAGATATGCATGTCCTGTGGGTGATTAATCTACATTAGGCGATATAAAATGTATTAGTGAAGCTTTTCTTCACAATGCTAACTTCTGGTTGGCTACAGCCATTATGATGCGTCCAATAATATTTCATCTGAAACCTGTTTCTGTTGTGTTATCATTTTCTTACCCACAACCATGAACGGAGTCAACAAATATTTTGGGGCCTGTTTGTTTCTTGCGTTTAAACTCATGGTTTTGATTTTGCTACAGTGTTTTCCTCTCACAAAATATTAGAATTTCAAATGCTAGAATCAAGAATCACTGGTTTGAATGCATGAACCAAACGGGCCCTTGATATATGCTGATTCTTGAATTAAGTGCTCTAGGCTTATGTTTTCCCTGCTATGCTTTGATTATCGTAAATTTTGTTGGACTTTTTTTGCTGATCAATATACGGTCAATACCGAGAATTAAGACCATCATCTTATTCTAGTTTGTGCACCATTGAGGATATCATAAATGCTAAAGGTTACTTTTGTTTATACTACAAATTTCTAGTTGCTGCAACTAATTTTCAAGTAGGAGCCAAATGGGTAATTGTTCAATTGAACTGCAGAAATGATGAAGGGCCAACAGTACTGATTATAAAGGATAAAGAAGGCTATTTATACGGAGGTTACGCCTCTCAGCCTTGGGAGAGACATGGCGATTTCTATGGAGACATGAAATGTTTCCTCTTCCAACTCTATCCGCAAGTGGCTTTATTCAGGCCTACTGGGGCAAACACTAATCTACAATGGGTAAGCTCGCATTTTCTACTCTTCTCAGCCAATAAAGAAGAATCGATTACATTTCGTTGTATCATGAGTTGAAAAAATTCGAGACTTGGTTGTGTTTGATATCATTCTTCTGCGAATTGGCAGTGTGCCGTGAATTTCAGTTCGGACAACATCCCGAATGGGATCGGCTTTGGCGGACAAGCAAATCACTTTGGTCTTTTCCTCTCGGCGAGTTTTGACCAGGGCCACACATTCTCGTGCACCACATTTGGCAGCCCTTGCCTCTCAAAGACCAACAGAATACACCCAGAAGTAATAGAATGCTGGGGAGTTGTCTCACATCGAGCAGAGCAAGACAAACATGAAGCTCTTAAAGGCAGTGTGTTGGAGAGATTCAAAGAGGATCGCCACATGCTAAACTTGGTTGGCCTTGCGAATTCAAGCGAGTGACATGGAGATTTAGCAATGTTTGGTAAGAGGGAAAGAAAATAGGTGTATGACTTGGGTAACGAAAATGAAGAGAAATGACGAAAACCTTACTCTTATTGTGTTTGGCAATTCTCTCTCTTTCTCTCTCTCTATCTAATGGATTATAAATTTCTCATCCAATTCACTCTCTCTTTTCTTTTCTACCAAACAACGATGAAACCAAATCCTTACACCAATCTCCTCACTTCTCTCTTCCTACAAAACATGCTCTAAATGTTGGCTTGAATGGGTGTTCTTTTAACAGATTTGAGTGGAAAATACGATCTCAAATTCAAATTTTTAGGTTGTGACTCGAACCTATGACGGGACGTAGGATGCCTAGTTGCATCCTTGTGTGAGCCTGCCCACTTTGTTGCCAATATTGTGTGAATTCGAAGAAGTGTTGTACATTTTAGTCAAACTTGGCATGAATTTGCTTACGCTTAGTCACTCGTATTGTTGGTATATTTGGAATATTAATAAAGAATTATTTTCATAATTACCTCCGAACTATGTATATGTATCAAAGTGTTTCTTGATTTTTTAAAACAGTTTAAAACACCTCTTGATATATAAAGGTCTTCAGTTTGATTCGAGGTTTTAATTTCAATTGAAATGTGATTTTATGTGATAGTTTTTAATTATAGCAGGAAAAAATTAGATGCGACTCTTTGTGAGAACTTTTAACTGTAGCAAAATTTAAATTGAAAACTCGAATTAGTGAAATGAACAAAACTAAAATGGTTCAAAGCGTCCTTTCGTCTAAGTCTGTGTATATCTCTAACAGATATGTTGACATGACATTTCATTAAGGGGGTGTTTGGTATGCAGGAATCAGTAGGAATCATATTCCCGGGAAAGTGATGGAGGGTAATATGATTCCTAGGAATAATACATTATTGTGTTTGGTTTCATACATGAATCTTTCTCAAATTCCTAGGAATATTACATTACTGTATTTGGTTGTGCATGGGAATGTTGTGAATTAAAAAAAATATTTTTTAAATGAATAATAATAATAATAATAATTATTATTATTATTATTATTACTATAAAAAATATTTTTTTTAATTCACAACATTCTGGGTTTAGAATTACCCCAAAATGTGGTAATGTGAAACTCATGGGCTTCACTTTTCTGAGTTTTAAAAAAGTCTAATAAATATACCAAATATGGAAATCTGAAAGATTTCCATTCCCACCCCTATAATTACCCCATACCAAACGCCCCCTAAAGGTTAATTAAATGTATTAAAATTCAAATTAAATTTGTAAAACTGATTAAACATTAAAAACAATTAAAAATATAAAAAAATCTTTATTTCAAAAATAAAAATAAAAAACTCAGGTCGTCTTCCTCTTGGTCCTTAGTTGCAAACCTAGAAACAAACCAAGACCCTAATATGTTACCCACCCTTACTCATGACCCTGCCGCCCATCACCAGCTGCGACTCTGTTTCACTGTCTGGACCCACCGCACCGTAGAACCAAGCCCTGTTAGAGAATTTGTGTGTAGAGGATGAAAAGAATACAGAAAATAAGAGAGTGTTTGAGTCGTATAGGAATATTTTCTTTTAAGATTTTATTTGCCCTTACTTTTCAAAGTTTGCTAATAAGTTTTAATGGTAAATTACTCCCAAGATACAGCAAACCCTTGAACACAATATCTAGCAATAATATTGAGTTTCAAAACATTAATTAAGTATGTAAATTTTTTGGATAATTAATAAAGATAAAGGTATCATTTCATGAATGAATGCAACTTTTTAATCATCACAACCATTCACATAGAGAGGTACCATTTCAAGAATGAATACAACATTTTCAATCATCACAACCATTCACATAGAGGTAATTTTCTCAATGTAAATGTATCTTTTCATGGATTAATATATCTATTACAATAGTTATATCTATTGTTAGTAGGTGTTCAGATATGTGTGAAAACATATCACAAATGGTTGCAACGATTTGAAGAGACCTATTACAATCTCTCTAACAATCCCCCACTAGATTGTAATATTTCTCCAAAATTATCAACGATAAACACATACATACTTGTAGTTATCTTTTGATTTTAACCTCCAATTAGTGACTATACTTCAAAGTATTTACTAGACAACAGTGTGCTTTGCATTAAACTTTGTCTCTTAAGCAAATACCGAAAATATATCACATATGTGTTATCCTAGACTTAAAAATCTGTCCCAATCGTTTAGCACTATTCCAGCCTTGTGCTCTATTTTGGATTCATGAACATTTATAAGACTAAACCACGGTCTTATTAGGAACGACACCATTTCTTATGTTCACTTAGGTGAAGTTTCAAATTATGTCTTTAGCTACTATAAGACTCGAACTTCATTAAGAGTATAAACTCAACCTCAACCACGTAGTTAATTTTACACCGACATCCTGAAATGAACAAATTAAATTTTGGTACCAACCCGATCACAAAATAATGACTTATTTTTACCCATTTAATTTTGGAATAGTGGTTGTATCACTTTTATATGTAAATTAGGCTTAAAAAAAAAGTAAAATACACATAAACTAGAGGCGCTTCTTACGGATACCAATAGTGTATGTTCTTTAACACTTCATTTGAATTAAATTCATTGGAGAAATGAAATATGTATGCAAAAAGGATGGAGAAAGTTTAAAACAAGATCCTATAAGTAGGTTTTAATACCCTACTATAAAATTCTCATAAATTAGGATCATGTGTACAACCCTATGATTTGTTCAGGGGAAAGAGAAATAGAAAACAACCATTTCTTGCATTCGTGTTGTACAACTCGATTATCTTTGTTTCCTTTTTCTCCAATGTTTCACAAATCTCGTTAGTTTTACTAGTTTAACTCATCCGAACTCAGTTTAAACACTAAGTACATTTTAGACTCATGTTTAATAAACACATAATCTAAATTATATTTTGCGTTTAAACTGACTTAAATTGTCCAATTTAGAGTTTCATTGCTTCCTTAAGTTTAAATATTCAAACTATATTTAAATAGTAAAAAAGTGTTCACTCTCTTTGCTTTTCACATCTAGCGAACACAAATTCAAATTTTATTTCTTATTTAGATTAACATTTTAACTGCATATCCAAACACTAATTCAAATTACAATTTAAACTACACATCAAACAAAAAAGTTCAAATCAACAGACTTTAAACCAGCGAAACGAGAGCAAAAGTATTGACCCAGTTTGGTCCTATTGTCAAGAAGTTTCACACGGTTCCCAATAAAAGTGTTTTTAGAAATAGTTTTGATATAGTGTTTGTTTGGGTATTTTACATATTTGTCCTTTGAACTTGTATGATTTTAACAATTGGCCCCCTTAAACTTTTAATTTTCACAAGTTGGCCCCTCAACTTGTAAAATTATCACAATATGCCTCATTTTGACGATGATTGTGTTAAATTAGTGTCGAAAAAGCACATTCGACGAAAGATTTCAACATCCTAATTCAAATGTAACACAAATCATTTAATTCCTCAACTTTTTTAAACTCTTAAATCTAATAAAAAGATTTGAACAAATTTAGTAAAATGAGCACATTGCAATAATTTTTATAAATTTAGGAGGTTGATTGTCAAAATCAAAATTTTAAGAGGTAATACGCTAATCCAACGATAGGTTCAAGGCGCAATTGTGCTAAAATTATCGTTCAAGGCGCAATTGTGCTAAAATCTCTGTTTGTTTTGTAATTAATGATGAAACAAAAACAAATTGAAAAATTGTTTTCATACCCTACTTTATAAATATATATTTATATATAGAAACAATTAAAAGTTATTTTTTTTTCTTTATGTTTTTTTATAACTTATATACTCAACATGTATTTTCAAAAGTATAACCAAACATAGTTTACTTTTTCCTATACTTAATATAATTTCTTTACAAGAACACATATAATCTCAAAGACAGTTTCAACACGACACTCAAAATTTCTCATTTCTATTTTCATACCCAAAATAAAATATTATATAGTGTCTTGTCATGGAATACACAATGTCGTAGAAATCAAATACATTGATACCTACATCTTCGTAATGCCAGCTGGAGGTTGGTGAATGATGATATTATAAAAATCTATAAACATGGTCAATGCACAAGTATAGTATTTCAATTTGTTGCATTCCAAATTAAATATAACATGATAACATCCGTACCTACCAACCAATATGTCTCAAATTTGATCCCCTTTGAAATAATTAGGTAATGTCAATTTAACGTGTTGAAATGTATGCTTGTGAAATTCCGTGAGACACCAAACGATGACTATGTTCAATCCCATAAAAGACAAAACACAATAAAAAAGAAAAATCATATTGCACATATATATATATATCATATATGTAATGTATCAAGTTATCAACTTTATATGAGTCAAAATTTAAGTAAAATCTACGATATATTACGCAAAAAATCCCTACAAACAAGCAAAACATTAAAATATATGGCAGTTTAACAAAATTTGGTTAAAATTGATTAAAAAATTTACCAATTTAGGGGATTTTTTTTACCCCTACGTACTACTGAATTCTTCAATTTTTAATACTCTTTAACGTCTAATTTTTAATATGAAAAGAAAAGAAAAGAAAAAAAAATGTCATATTGAATTACACATTCACTTTACCTTTTGTTTCAAATTTGAGACAAAAAAAAAAAAAACAAACAAATGAAAAAACTAAAGAGGAAGTAAATAGAGATAAATAAGTCCTGAAATGCTCGTTATAACCTCAATTAATTACCAAAATACTTTGTCATGTTTTCTCTAAGAACAGGATTGGTAACACTATAACCCCCATCTATAACTATATTCATCCCACTCACATACTTGCTCTCATCACTCCCCAAGAACACCGCTGCCTCCGCCACATCCTCCGCCATCACCGTCGCCTCCTTCAAATTCACCGTGGCGGAAACCACCTCCTCCACTGCCTCCTTCTCCATCCCCATTGCCTTACACAACATAGGGGTCACCACCCCAAAAGGCGAAATACGATTATCCCTAATCCCGTACTGACCTAATTCCACACAAAGATTCTTGGTCAGCCCCACCAGCGCGTGTGTTTCGATGCCTTGTAAGCGTACGGCGCGTCTCCATGGACCACCGAGGCGCAGCTCGACGAGAACAGGATGCTGCCCTTCCCCGCCGGGATCATAATCCTAACCGCATGCTTGGCACCCAAGAAAGAGCCGTAAACGTAAGTTTACGTCGAACACCTTGTTGAAGTCCGCTCGATTGACGTCGAGAATGGTCGGGGTTAGGGTTCCGGTGGTGCCTGCGTTGTTGAACGTTACGTTGAGCTTGCCGTGCTTTTCGACCGCAAAGTCGACGGCGTTTTGGACCTCAGATTCCTCAGTGACATCACAATGGACGAAGGAAACGGCATCATTGTGAGAGAGATTATTGATGCTGTCACGGACAGTGCTGCCGAGGTCGTCTTGGCTGTCGGCGATGACAACCTTGGCCCCGTACCTTGCGTAGAGCCGTGCCGTTCCTGCTAACCTGTTTGAGTAAATGAAAGGAAAGTCATAATAAACACAAAATTAACTACGTAATTTGGAGGAAAAAAGTTACTACATGTCATATTTTTGTTTGTTAATAATAAGGATGAATATTGTTTGATTAATGTGAATATTTTTTCTTGCCTCTTGGCAATGGGGTCTGAGATTAACGAAGAAGCGGTCATTTTTCAGCTTAATCTTCTTTGTTTACCCTTATGGTAAACTGGGAATTTTGCCCCGGGCGATTGGGATTATATGATTGATTTTGTAGGCCAGTACTGGCTTTATGAAAATAATCGTGTCCCAAAAGTTGTATTGGTAGAAAGTATAAAACAAAATGGCGTTCCAGAAGTAAAAAAGAAAAAGAAAAGGAGTTCTGGAATATTGTATAAAGTTTCAGCATTATTATTTTACTTGAAAGCGCACATGAAAATGGAGAATAATTATTATGGTTGCTTGGTGAGTAGATGGCGAGATGCATTATATATAATAAACTCGAGGGAATTAAAGAAAGAAATATTATGTCCTGCGGCCCTTGCTGATTTTTTTGTGTTAGTTACAAAAGATGATCTCTTGCGTCAAATAACTTTATTTTTTTAATGTTAAATCTCGGTGATTATTGTAATTGCTTTTTCGTATATTATTGGTTTGTGTTGAAAATCGAGACTGGTCTGATTTTTTATTATTATTATTTTTTTTTAAGATACCTGATCTGGGAACTAACATACGAGTTTATAACTGACTAAATACTAGTAGTGATTGTAAAGGTCTAATAGCTGCTTCTGGTCGTCAATTGGGAATTGGCAGACCGATTTGGTCTCGAGTCAATCGAAAGCTAAAACCCTAGAACGGAAAAATAAAGTGCAGAAGAATAAATGAATATACAGATTTATAGTAGTTCATCTGTAATATGAATGACTAAAAAATACAATTACAAAGGACAATTAGATAAGAGGATGAAGATGTTTCGGATAGAGAATTTAGAGAAATTAGACTGGATGAATGATCTCCAATTCGCTGTTCAATCTCATATTTATTGGAGATGATTTGAGCCTCCTACGTTGGTCATTTTTTTGAGCTGATGTCGGTTGACTAGTTGAATGGGGAGTTTCTTTTTTGGTTTCTAGTTGACTTTAATTGTTACTTGTTTCCTTAAATGATTTTAGGTACCTTATTTTCCAACCTCGATCTCATTCTTACCTTAGTTTCTTGATATAGCGGATTTGGTTTTCACAGAATTTTAGGGCGCTTTCTTCCTAATTTATCCATGGCGGTCTCTGTTAGTTTCCAGCCGTCATGCTTCTCTAGTCGACACTATTTTTCAAGTCGATCTTTGGCGAGTCATTTCCTCCAACCATCTCCAAGAATTGTTGGAATGTGCAAGTGGTGATCCAGGTATAAATTTACTATTTAAAGTGATAAATTTCAAAATTTTTTATTTTTTTTAAAATCTCTCATGCTAAGAACTGCTATATTACCCCAGTAATAGGAACTACTGCACCTTTTAATTGTTGGATTAGTTTTAAAAACTAATTCAATAACTAAAACAGTTTCTTTCGATAGAATAAAATAGTATTTTTAACATAAATTTTTTTTTCCCCACCAAGCTATCTTGTGCCCACACCTTTCTTCTGTTCATCTCTGTTTTGGGTATAAAGTTGTCAGGTTTGACTAGAGACTTGTACTTTTAAGATGAACAGTTATTCGAGAAAAGGTATCAACATTTCAAGACAAGACTTTCACCGTGGAAAAAAACGTATGGGCGGCCGAAAACTGAAGGGACTTTCTTCGGTAGAATTTCTCTATAATGAAGTTAGTTTTAGATAATTAAGTCTTATTAAAATCACGTTAAGTTAGAAAAAAAAAATAAAAAATAAACAATTTTTAATATAGATATAATAGTTCAAATTATATAATTATTAATATTTCATTTTTTCTAAAGTCCTTAATATATACACATATAATAGCACCAAGACAAGATAATTACACAGAAACAAATTAATAGGAGCAAACATGTGTCCTAGAAGTCACATAAACTAAAGGCACAAAATAAGAGATGATACAAAATTGATTAATTATGAAAACAGATAATTATCACCAGGTAGGTTGACCATTTTGATAATGTATTAGAAAAGGTAGCTTGTAATTTATATTACTTTCCCCACACTTTATGCCTTTGATTTTTCATGAGTAATACTACATTAGTACCATGGGAAATTGTACGTTTTTTTTCCCCCTTTTTTATGATAAGCAAACGTATATCTGAAACATAAATTTTTATATAAGCATTAGATTAATGAGTCTTAATTTTAATAGTAGCATCATTAAAACGAATATTTCACCACTTTTGATTACTTTTCGTTTTCTATTACTGTGGCGTTAGATGCTTCTTTTGAGCTGAAATTGAATTGGCCTTCATACTCGTTAGTTTAATTCAATATTTAAAACCATTTATTTTTGGCACTTAGCGTCTATTCAATTAATTTCTCTATTTTCATAATTTGTACTCCCTCCTTTCTTTCTCTCTTTATTGAACTCCTACTAGATGACTCAATATCCTTATAAATTAGTGTTTATTTTTACATTTGAACGATGTGAGACTCAAAATTATTTAAATCCTTTACAAATAAAATCAAGTTTTAATTAAGTTGTCATCAATAGCAACATTGCAAGAATTAGCAATACTTTTGCCGACAAAGCTGCCAAATTGCTTATCGTCAATGCCTCTGGCTTTCAAGTCTCTTAGAATTCTATATTCTCCTCCAGCATATCTTCTATATTTTTGACTGATTAAATTTAAGTGCCTTAGAGAGCTAGACTATGTTTTATTTTTACTTAATTTGTTTCTTTTGTTCCTTGGTCTTCTTCGTAGGGTTTTTCTTTTTTCTATTTTTTTTTGGAAGGTTTTCTTCATAGTTAGTGTGATGTATTTGTTTTCTTTTTGAGAAAATTATTGAACTTACCCTTAAAAAGAGAACATGTTTAGAGCATCCAAATTCGCAAAATTTATTGGTTAACAAATAGATCATTTTATCAATGCTTTTGGTTTACAATTTTTTTAGCAACCCTAACATTTTTTTATTAATACTCTTTTGACTAATAATTAATTAATTTATTGAAAATGTATTAATAAAAAATAAAAGGGTAAAAATCTAAACTCATGCACTTTAAAGGGTATTTGATTTTGCCCTCCTTTCCCTTTCTTTTTCCATGTTTAAAGTCTTGTTGTAATCTGTTTGTCTCATTGGTTTGTTGCAACGAAATTCCTACTTAAAAATTATCAAGAATAAGCAGCAAATAAAATAAAATAACATGCTCAAAATATCACGTAATTGTTTAATAGGGTCTCGTATATGTGTCGTATTGATGGAGAGCTAATTAATTGCTTTGGAAATATTTCAAAGTCTACTTCTAGCGAGCGGCAAGAAGTGAAGACAAATTCTAGTGAGTAATTGATTAATGCATGATTAACGAATAATTTAGTTCAACAATATATTATTAAGAAAATTGTTTAATAGACTAATATATATTTTGGCTCATTATAGTTCAGGAGTATTATAATTTAGTAGGTGCAAACGCGGATTAACGGAACTTTCAAGTCTAAGAATTAAGTTATACTATTATCTCAAGTTTGACTAATTATTTACGAGACCTTAATTAATTAATCTACATTTTTGAATCTTTATGTATGTTATCTTAATTATTTGTTGACTTGCATATTATTGTTTGTTTAATTATAAAGATAGGTACCGTAATTTGATTCCGATGGAGTATAAATCTATGACTTAAACACATTTACCTTTTTCGTTGAAAATTTTAGAATTATTGTGCATAAAAAGTAACGAAAGAAATATCAGACGACTTAAGATTTGCGTGGGAGATGAGAAATCTTATGAAAAGAAAATTAATTAGAAACTTGGAATTAGTATTTGAATTTTGAGAATACCAAATACAGATGTCGTAGGCACCAACATCCACGCAAAAAATATATATGAAGTCACCACGCAATTTCTATAAATCTTTCATTTCATAGACACAATTGTCAACTTCTTTGATGATATCAATGTAAATTATGGATTTATTTTTGGCACCAGAAGAAGCTAAAAATATACTTAATTAGCTACATCATAGTTTGAATGAGGAAAAAAAAAGTACTAAACACATCACGCTTTCATATGGAAATTTTCTTCATCCGCAGTTTAATTATATAATTTTTCTCGAAATCTAGATTCAATTACTTGTTAAAATACAAATTGATTCGGTCCATTTCATATTATTGATTTTTTAAACTCGTGACGGCGAGTTCTAAAATCATATATTTCTGTAATTAAAGTTTTTTTTTAGTTACGTTCACTATCAAAATTGCTATAAAGTCGGTGGTGATTGTTATATATAAGCAAACTCTATTAAATGAAAGAGCAAAAGCTTAAGAAAAGTACCCCCAAATACTTTTTTCCTTCTTACCTGCTGAATTTTAGTCGTTTTAGGTCCTAAAACATGGGGAGTCTTGCTTCTGCAACACCAAACAGAAGGTAACATTTTTTCTTGTAAATTTTCTTTTTAGCTACACAAACTAAGATTGCTGTTAATTTTGGAGACTAGTTAATAATAATATCGTCTTGCATGCAATATTTATGTTAAATTCTAGTTCTAGATTTGTTTAGTGTGATGTACATGCATGAGCCGAGTAATATAAATAGTAGTTAAGAATAAAAAAAATGCACCAACTATTTATTAATTTAAAGAAAATAATTCTGGATTAATTTGAAAATTCAAAAATAGAACTATATATTCCTGATATGTTTGCAGGAACTTAGTTAGTTTTTGTTTAGCTCATGGTTAATTACTACGATTGACGAATGATAATTTTTTTTCCAAGTATCCAATATATAAAATATTACGTTTATAATTTGATCTTTCTAGAGAAAATGTTCTTTTTCTTCATAATCCTTTCTTACAACCAGTTGGGATGAAACGAAGACGGCAATAACATTTTTTGGTACGCGACTAAGAGATTTTTATTATTGAATATCATATTTATAAATATTTGTATAAATGATACAGAACTTCCTTTTTTTTTTTTTATAGACAAAGTCATTCAACTAAACAATAATTAATTTGTTTATATTTATTCATCTTTTCCGATCTTAACCTTTTCCATAGGATTTACATACGCAATTGTTAACCTGTTAATCTCCACTTGTTTCACTCCATATATCATAATTCATGATCAGGTTACAAGGAAAGGTGGCAATCATAACCGGTGGGGCAAGAGGAATAGGAGCAAGCGCAGTGAAAGTATTCCACGAAAACGGAGCAAAAATCGTAATCGCAGATATCCAAGATGCTGAAGGCCAAGCTCTTGCTAAGAAGCTCGGATCAGAAGACGTTTACTACATCCACTGCGACGTGTCAAATGAGGATGACATCCAAAATCTCATAGACACCACCGTCGCTAAATATGGAAAGCTTGACATAATGTACAACAATGCCGGCGTCCTAGACAAGCCCTTCGGGAGCATCTTGGATGCCACAAAGTCTGACCTTGACCTAGTTATCAGAGTCAACTTGGTTGGGGCTTTTCTCGGAGCCAAACACGCCTCTAGGGTTATGATACCACAGGGCAATGGGTGCATTCTTTTCACCTCTAGTGCATGTACTTCTATTGCTGGGCTCGGGACTCACACTTATACTGCGTCGAAATACGCCGTGTTAGGGTTGGCAAAGAACTTAGCGGGTGAAGTAGGGCAGTATGGGATTAGAGTGAATTGCGTGTCGCCTTTTGGAGTGGTGACACACATGGCGACGGGTGGTAATGAGGGTGTCAAAGTGGAGGAATTAGAGCAGCAAATTAGTGCATTGGGAAATCTCAAAGGGCATGTCCTAAAGGCTGAGGATGTGGCCAAGGCTGCGCTTTTTTTGGCTAGTGATGAGGCGCATTATGTGAGTGGTTTGAATCTTATGGTGGATGGTGGGTTTAGTATTGTCAATCCTACGCTCATGATCAGGGCTTCTAATCAAATTCAGTGAAGATATATATATATATATATATATATATATTTTTTTTTTGCGTGTTTGTGTTTATTAATTGGTAATGTGTTTTAATTCATATTAAGAGGACGTTGTATTAATTTTCCCTATGTGGAACAATACTATCATTTTATAATGGCCAAACAAGAGTACTACTTATGTAATTTGCACATCCTAATTACTTGAAAATGCAAATTCAAAGAAATAGAAATGTAAAATAAATAAATTATGAGAAACAAAACAATAAAAGGGCCATTTTGTCTTTTAAACAATTGTCCTCCAAATCCAATTTCAACTTGAAAGTCAATTAGCTAATTAATCAAGTTTCCCAATCCCGTATTATATAGGACTAATTAGAAGATCCATTTGAAGAAGATTTCACCAATTAATTAAGCTTCTCTGCCCCTGACGACGATTTAATTCTGCTGTATATATAAATTATTAATGTGCCTAGATTCATTCTTCTTCTTCTTTCTGGTTAATTTGGAGTGTACTTTGCTCTTAGCGTTCTCAATAGATCATTTATTACTGGGTTTGAGTCATTTTTCAAGCTCCAGATCAATTCCCAGCAAAAATAAATAAATAAATACTCTGGATCAATTGGTTTGCTGTAGTACACTACTCATGATTTTTTGGATGTACAAAAATCTGAAGCATTCATTTTTTTTGTTTACGTTCAAAAGTATGAATGTGGTTATGTTTCTTAATTAATTATATATATATATGTATATACGTAAAAATGAAGACCCTTTAAATCTGAGCCGGTATTTGTCCATCATTTTGTACGAAGATTGAAACAGCTAAAATTGGATTATTATAAACTGGAGTTATTTTGTCTTTTCATACTAAGAAACCTGAAAAAGATAAAATTGAATGTGGCTTAAATTTATCATTTCACCTTTTGTCGTCTAGACAAAACGCCATTATTTTTTCTTTTTCTCTCTATGCATAGAATAAAGTTAGGGATTCTTTTATTGGTGGGTAAGCAAAAGATTACAAGTCAAAGTTACAGTTAGTACAAAAAATCGAGATTAAAAGTGATGTCTTTAGAACTACTCTCTAGAATAAATGAAATGATCTAAGAGACACGATAAATCGTTTGCCGTTCACTAAGAAAACGACATGAGTTTTTTTTTTTTTTTTTTTTTTTTTTTTTTTTTTTGTTTAAATAAAAAATCGTTTACCGTTTAGCAAGAAATACGACATGACTTATTTTCTCAGGAAAAAAATGACAAGCCGTTATATCTAAGGATATGGATGGAAAAGTTGTTGTTTTAGCATGTTCATTTCTCCAGAAAAAAAAAAAAGAGAGAAAAGAAAATGCAATGAATATAGAAACGACAAGATTCACAAAAAACTACAACATCTTTACGCAGCGATAAATTTTTTTTTTCCCCAAGTACAACGAACTCACGACCAATTTATGGTTAATTCCCAAGTTCTCTTCCTGTTATTGTCACTAAACATGCACGAAAGGAGGCAATAACAGAAAATGAAGGTTTTCTCGCCGGTGATCGTCTAATGATCATGTACCTAATGAAGGCCTCCTTAAAAACCTCACAGGTAAAAACCCATTGGGAAAAGCTAGGAAAGAGAGAGAAAAAAAAAGTGCATGATCAATATGATAACCTAAGAATTCCGTCCAAAACAATCCATCTATGAAGAAAAACGTCAAAAAGGCAAGCCTTCAATATGATAGGCAAAAAGGTCCATACACAAGAGAAGAGCATTGAACCACAAAACTTTTTTTTTTAGATTAATTCCATTGAAAGCCAATGTGTTAGCCACTATGTTTATCTCCATAAAGACGCGCGAAACAAAATAGTCCATTTGTCCCAAAAAAATAACATGCTAACAACCAACGAGATTTGTATCTCTAAGAAATTGCATGATCTAAACCGCAGGATTTAATAAAATCAACCAAAATAGAATCATTCTCAATCCAAATCTTCTTTCCATCCTTATCAGTGAGCAAAAAAATGCAGCATTGATACTTCTGACGGTGAAATTTCGTCAACTGGATTAATTCAGGTTTAGAGGCGATTAATGTGATTGGAACGGCTTAATTATACTTTGAGAAGTTTTTTTTTCTTAAAGTTAAATAAGAGGAAAGAACACCAGAATTTATAGTGGTTCTTTTGTTCAAGAGTTACGTTTACTGTGAGGAGAGAAAAAATATTTATCTTATGAGAATACAATCTTCTTACAGATTGAGAGCCCCCTGGCTCGCTATTTTTTCATGTATATATTTACTCTATCCTCCCTCAACTTTTGTCATTTCCATCATTACACTTTATCACATTGTCTCATATTTTTAGATGTGGTCCTCGGTGGGTGGAGTTTCTGTCAGTCAACAATGGTCTTTCACCTGCTCCCCTACCAACTTTGCTTGCTTACAAATCACATAAGATACCTACAGGTTCAATTTTTCCTCGGACTGCGTGCAATTGGTTCCTCAGGCACTTATCAGGCCATCTCTGCTTACGTCTACTTGGAGCGGTCGACTTCTCACTTGTCTTAATGCCTCTGTATGGTCGACCTCTTGTCTATCTTGACTCTTCTGTACGGTCGATCTCCCGCTTATCTTGCAGTCGACTTTTACCGAGTTTCATTTTGTGAATTCCTTGATGTTGAACTGACATGATTATTAATCTTCCAACTGTGTCACGCGGTGCTCATCTAGTACCTGACATGGAGTGTGAGATTGTTCCCTACAACAAAATCTATGTAGTTATTCTTTAAGTCCGAATAGTTCATGTTTTTAAACATTTAAGGCTATCATAATTATATCAATAATATGAATAATAGAACTTATTGCAAATTTAATAGTTTAAAACAGAACTGTATCGAGCATTGATCCTACCCTATCGTAGTTGTTTGTTTGTTTTGTTTTGTTTTTGTTTTTTTTTTCTTTTGGTGGGTAAGAAAACGGCATGTACCCATGCTTATGATGTCATGGACCATCTCTATTGTGGAGATTTCAAATAATGACGATGACAGTGATGGCCATGAGCCTCCAATACAAATAAAGAGGTACATAAAAAAAAAAAAAAAATAATAAAAATAAAAAATAAAGAGATACATCTGAGTCAAACGCCTTTGGATTGAAACTTATCTCCTTTGCAATAAAATATCATCGCAACCCATCGACCCGTCTTTTCCCATGATTTTTTTTTTGGCAAAAATATTTTATGACCTGATCTTGGCCCACTGTCCACCACACACACAACCTTATTCATTGCCTCAGTAGTTCAAATTTCATATCTTGATGATAATATTCACTTCAATAAAAAGAAAAAAATTTCTGATCACTCCTGGTCTGTGGTCCCTACTATATATATATATATCAATCCATTAATTGACATATTCTTAGCATTTTTTATGTGAAAATTAACTTTGGATTCTTCTTTATATGCATTATTTTTCTTAATACATAACCATATGTTAATGATATTATGCACAGGGATATTTTTGGGGAATAAAGTGATACGCAAAGCACAAACATACACAACAACTAGAGAGTTCGGAAATTGGCCTTCAAAAAAAAAAAAAAGGCCTAGCTAGTCAATCACAAATTAAATAGAAGGGTATATATAATTAATTGCAATCAAACAAATTCAAACTAAATACCAGACAACAATAATATTACTAGCTAGATTTCTCATCAAATTAAAAGGTCCCCAATATTATAAAAAGTAATTCCATGAATAATTAAATCAACCTACCCCTATTAATTGCTTCCAATTAGTAAACTAGCTAGAATTAAGAAACATATTTTGAGGCATCAAACTTCTCAAAGCCATACCGAAGGAGGGATTAGTAGTACTATAACCCCCATCAACCATGAGATTCACTCCATTCACATACTTGGCCTCGTCGCTGGCCAAGTACACAGCGGCCTCGGCGACGTCCTCGGGCCCCGGTGGCGGGCCTTTGAGGACCGCCGAGGTGCAAATTAACCCGTCCACGACGCTCTTCTCTATCCCGATCGCATTACTCAGCAGTGGCGTCGCCACGGCGGACGGCGAGATTGAATTAACCCTAATTCCGTGCTGTCCAAGCTCCACGCACAGGTTCTTCATCAGCCCCACCACCGCGTGCTTCGACACCGTGTAGGCGTGCGGCGACTCCCCGCAGCTCTCCGACGCCACGCTCGACGTGAAGAGGATCACGCCCTTCCTCGCCGGGATCATAACCCTGGCGGCATGCTTGGCGCCCAAGAAACCCCCGAAAACGTTGACCTCGAACACGCGCTTGAAGTTATCGTTGTCGGAGCCCAGGATTGTCGGATCCAAGTCGCCGGTTATGCCGGCGTTGTTGTACATGATGTCGAGCTTGCCGTGCTTCGACACCGCAAAGTCGACGAGGCTTTTCACGTCGGAATCGCTCGTGACGTCGCAGTGGACGTAGGAAACGACGTCGCTCGGGCCGAGTTCTTGGCTGAGTGAGAGGCCGAGCTCGTCTTGGATGTCGGCGATCACGACTTTCGCGCCGTGGCGGACGAATAGCCTCGCGGTACCCTCACCGAGTCCGCTGGCGCCGCCGGTGATGATCGCCACTTTACCTTCTAACCTGCAATAGTTAATCAAGTAATCAATTAGTTTACATGATATATATTGATGAAGTTAAAGAACTTGTAGTTAAATTAATTCGTTAGATAAAGGAATGAAAAGAAATTAAAAATGGCTTACCTTTTGGCAGTGGGAGATTCTGAGGATGTTAGGTTCATCTTTCAGGAATTGGTCTGTTCAAAATCAAGCTGATGAAATCGTGTAGATCAGAAGCCTTGGTTATTACACAAGTGGTGTTCAGTTACTTTATAGAAGGTGAAAGTTAATGAAAGTACTTCCACCGAAAAAGAAAAAAAGAAAAAAGTTGATCAAAGTACTGACATTATAGTGACAGGCTGGTTACCCATTGGATGAATTAGAATATATGACATGACATATAGGAACGTAGCCAAGTTATCACTTGAGCCCCCCTCAATTTTTTTCTTTTTTTTCCCCCATATTTACATAAAAATATCTTTGAAAAATTATACAAAGCCCTGAAAAATTAAAACTATAATTTTATACTCTTTAAATTTTTACTGTAATTATTAGCCTCTTCTCAAAAAATTTCTGACTACGTTACTGATGATATATATAACATCTTTAAAGTAAAAGTGGTATTCATCTCATCACACATAATGGCAAGTTTTGCTTGGTTGTGTCTTATCTACTCACTTAACAAGATTCATTTTATGTGAGTAACGGAGTTTTAGCACCATAATATTGATGAATAGAAGTGCTTTTTTTAAAGATTTAAATTATTGTGTCATGGTCAATAATAGTATGTATAGTATTAGTCCTATGGTAGTTTGCGTACGAAACTGAATAATTGGATTGAAGCGATCCTCTCATTATATTAGTGGCTCATGAAATTTTTATGAGTGCAGGGTGAGATGACACTGGTGATTTTTTATTTATTTATTATTTTGAATCAAGTTCTTGTGTCGTAGAGTTGATTTACCTTTTATTAATTATATGATATTGAATAGTACTAGTCCTAGCATATTTGTTCTTTAAATTTCGTGTCATGTAATTTTTTTCTTTAAAAAAAAAAAAAGAAATTAGGCAGCTTTTGACCGTAAGTGTAACATGACTTTGAGCAGTAGTGCCATGTACAAAAAGAAACAATCAACATGGAATAAACGCTCGCAAGAAGGCTCCAACTACTACCGAATACATGAAAGATATTATAATGTCCCATCCTCTAAAAAATCCAAGCAACTAACCACGTGTTTGATGCGAAGAAAAGCAGGACTTGCCGTGGCACAGAATGACAAAGGAATTGAAAATTAATTACAAGCTTTATTTTTTAATTGCCGCACTTTGTTTCCCACTTGGACTTATATGTGGACATTGTAGCTGATTTTTACATTTGGATAAAATAAAATAGATAGGATACATTGCATGAAGAGTAATATGCGTACTTAAAAAGATCCAAACATTTCAAGGATTTCAAAAAATTTGGTTCGTGGAATCCAAAGGCGCATTTATGATAGAGAATGTTATTTTGCTCATTTAATAGGAACTGTATTGTAATCTTTTCAATAGTTTTATCTGCAATAATAAGTGCATAAATTTTTAATGCAGATGTACACAGTTTTAAACTAATTTAATGATTAAACAACATTTCTTACGGGTGAGCAAAATAGTAAAGATTCCCAATTTGCTCGGAAAAGGCATAGGAAATGCATGCGGGGATTAAATTAAAGATGCACATTAATCGAAGTTGAGTGTCATTAAGTAATACGCAACAAAACTGTGAGCTTGGTTATTAATGAGCATGCATGCATACGGACTTGATCTCCTTAACTAATTATTAAAACTTTTTCCCTTAAAAAAATTAAATAAATTATTAAAACATAAAAGTTGAGCAGATTGTCGGCTGTTGCTTCATTAGGAAAATGATCAAATCAGATCATATAGGCAGCATGATCGAGGCCCTAAGCATGCAAATTATAAACTTGTCCTCATATTTAAGAACCAAACTAATGTTGTCAACATATTAAGCACCACATGAAGTTTTCCCGAAATAAACGCATATTCAAGACAATTTGGGCATTTTTGTTTCGGTACTTAATATATTACCAGTTGAGTGTATTACATGATCAAGTGTATAAGCATATTTAATATTAACATTTCTTTGGTTTTTTTTTTTTGTTTTTTTGTTTTTTAAGGTTGATAGCCAGCCTCCAGTTTCTTAAATTTTTAAGAGGTTTTTTTTTTTTTTTTTTTTTTTTTTTTTTTTTTTTTTTTTTTGTTGTTGTTGAGAAAATGCATCATATAGCATATTTTAGACTTATTTTTAAAGTAAATAGCTTATTTTTTAAATGATAAAAAATTAAATCATATTCTTATTTTACTTTTCATGTAGATATTTTTATTTTCAATTATACCTTTTTTTCATATCTAAACCTCAAATACCAAACCCTAATTTAACACTCTCTCTCTCTCTCTTCAGCAACCTACAGCACTCTTTCTGTTTCATCTCGACGAGATTGCTGAATCTCCAGTTCGCAGTTCGAGGATGACGGCGACAGAGATCACCATGATCTCCGGTGATGCACGACCTCCTCACTGCTAGAGTTGTCGCGACTTCGAGCAGCGACAACGACAGAGATCACTGTGATCTCCGTGATCCCGGACGGAGTTCGTAGATCGGGGTCTTCATCTCGGAGATCCAAGCTTTGCTCCGCCATTGCAAAGCTCGGATCTACTTCGTCTCTATCGGAACCAGACCGGAGCTTCGCCGGGATCGGATATGCTCTCCTCTCCCCTCGCGAAGCCTGTAGTATCCTCCGCCGTCCAAAGCTCGGAGGTCACAAATGGAGGATGACGCCGATCTGGTTAAGCCACTTTGGTCACCATCCTCCAAGGTGACCAGAGGTCACAAACGGAGGACGCCGCCGAAATCCTCACCAGCGGATCCGCCCTTTCCGATCTTTGATGGCGGCAATGCTCTTGAATTTTTTCGGTGATTTTGGTTTTGTCTGGGTTTGTGAAATTTGAACATCATTTTTATTGAGTTTTGTTGAGTGTTTTGCTGATTTGGTGTTTGATTGTTCATTATAAATGTTGTATTTATCAGTATATACTTTTTCAAATCCATTTTTTGATCTAGTAATATTGTATTTATTAGTAAATACTTTATTGAATAAGTTTAAATCTATAACTACAATATGGCAAATATAGTATTTACCATTTAATTTGATAAATACAATATAGTAAATATGGGATTCACCAGTAAATACGGTATTTACCAGTCGCCGGAGCCGATCACCAAATTTTTAGATAAATATAGAAAATATAGTATTTACTAGTAAATATGATATTTATAGATAAATACGGTGTTTACCAGTCACCAGAGCTGGTCGCATAATTTTTGTATAAATATGATATTTATTAATAAATACAATATTTACCAGTAGCCGGAACCGGCCGTCGGAAAATGGGACTGTCGCTGGCAACGATCCTCCAATGGTTAGAGGCGGTCATGGTGGATTTGACTATAGAGAGAAGAAGAAAGGGGTGGAAAGAAAGCTAAAGGGTATTTTTGGATTTTTAATAATTTTTAAAACTTAAAATATCAAATTATGCTATAATTTGCTTTCTTAAAAAATGCTATGATTTACTAAATACTATACTAAGGAGATGTTTGGTGTACCATATTATATTGTATTGCATTGTATAATTTTTATACAATACGGTGTTTGGTTAATAGTATTATTAAACATTATACTATTTTTGCCATTGTATTCTATTTATGTATTAATTTGTAATAACATAAAATTTAAGCACATTCATAACCTAATTCAACTCTAATTTCGACCTGAACCTAATATTTAGAAGAAGCAAGGGAGGAAGTAGAGTTACTACATAGGGGTCTTTTTGTAAAAAAAAAAAAAAAAAAAAAAAAAAAAATCCTTTGAAAAATGGGGTCAAAATTACAAAGTTAATGAATTTGAACCCATTTTTCAAAGTTTGTTTTTTTTTTTGGTTTTTTTGTTTTTTTGCAAAAAGACATAGGGGTCCCCAAATCTAATTTCCTACACAAATATGTCCTAGAACTATTTTTTTTTTTTTGTCATGCTGGGGGAGGTTGTAGGGTTGCGGCGGGTATGCGAGCAGGATCACGGAAGGGCGACATCAGTGGCTCGTGTGGTGGATGGCGTGGGTGACCTTTTTAGTTGGGTAGCAGCTCTGCTAAGAAATAGTCTCTGGAAGAAAAATCAAATCAAGATTAAAATATCAATTAGATTAATTAAGGCTGTTATTGTTGTGAGCATTTTGATCATTTTTTTTAATCTAATTTATGACAGATTTTGTGTGATGCACCTGACATAACGAAAATTATGTAGTAGACTATACCACGCTATTACAAAATTTAGGGATATTTTTGCTTTAAAAAATCAAATAGGGGACTAAATTAGGATTATTCACTAAAAATTTAAAGACGTCATACCTTTGCAGCGTCATTGTGAATTTCCACTTATTATAAATGCGTAGAACTTCTTTAATTTTGAAGTCCACTTATTATGAATGCGCAGGCCAAATTTGAAAAGCGAGAAAAAGTGACAGACAATTTATGTTATATGATGAAGTAGGGCCTTCGGAGCCTTAATTAGCTTCCAACTGTCCTTATCCTTATCCTTACCCTTACCATTAATCTCTGCTTTGACATTTTGTAAGTAATAAATATATATTTTTTTCCCTTGTGGGGAAGATCATGATGTATAGATCAACTCAATTATTATCACCCTCTTTTATGGCGATGCTCGGCGGTTTTATTTTGTTTTTCTGTGTATTTTAGTTTGTAATAAGGGTCGTTTTCACCTTTTTTTTTCCTAGTCTATTAAATTTGTATCTTAGAGTTGTTTTTTATGTGGCTAATTTAGTGCTATACGGGTCTTTCAATTTCGATTGATTGGAATTTATCTATTGATTGCAGAGAATTTATAAAAGAGTCTGCTCAATTTTTAGTGTAGCTTAATGAGATCTGCTTTTGAAACCACATGTTTCTTTTCCTTAAATGTTTCATTTAAATTTGCTAGTGGATTTGGTTATTTATCATGATCTTGATTCTTCTGTAGGGTGTGGTCATTCGAGTCGAAATTGATATTTGTATTTACTTACTGGCAATTTATGGTATGTAGGGCTTTTTTACTCATACATTGTGTTTTAGATCTGCGACCGGAAGTAATTTTGCGTCGTGTGCTTTAAATTTTTAACATGCTCACTCACAAATCTAATTGTTAAAAAGTTAATCCAACAATTAAAGTAACAATATTTACTGGTAGGTAAAAAAATCTTCCCCACTATAAAAGTGTACTATCCCATTTGAAAACGTGTATATATA